CGCATCTTTCTGCGATGATGTCAGAGTCTGATCCTGACTCAGTAACTGAAACTGATTTCACCAGTAAACTGAATTTGTTTCGGATACAAGTGAACAGCCAGGAAGGAGGAGTCATTTGTTCAGAATGAAGCGGGTTGAAGTGTTAATATTTTATTTCTTACTGATTGTTTGGTGCGTCCGGCCTGTCGACGGTGACTTTCTGGTCTCAGATGTTACACATGATGATGATGCCCACCCCAACACCCTCACAGAAACCGACGCCGATGCACCGGACAGGAATATCCAAACAAACAGGGACATACGGGAGACGAGCATGGAGACAAACTGGGACGAGCCAGATATGAGAAAGGACCACTATGAGGATGCTGACTGGCATCCTCTTACCTTCTTTACGGAAACGCTTACCGACCTGACCCCTGACGCCCCACTGGTGATACGCAATGACAACCCTGGTGCTGAAGTTAGCACCAACCGGACTATCAGCAATTCATCAGCGTCAGAGTGCGGCGAGTTCAGCAGTCAGCTGATGTCTAACGGACAATGCCGACTGACGGCAACACTTCCTCCTGTAGGAAATTCTCAAAAACGCTGCCCAGACATGTTCCGGTGTACAGACGACGTCTCCTATTGGCTCCATGAGAACGAAAACAGAAAGGAGCAGCTGGAAGAGCTGAAAGAGACGATGTCAGGGCTCCAGGAGGAGCTGAGGAACCACCGGCATCGAGTCAAGGCCCTGGAGATGCAGGTAGACTTCCTGCTGTCTACTCTACGTTCATGAAATGTCGCGTTGAACTTTGTAAAGAATAGATTTGTATTTTGAGACACGTGGGCTTAAAAAAGTGTGATGTCATATCTCCAAAGCAAAGACATAAATCCTGATTCAAGAAATCAGTTTGAGTGAAAAAAGTACAGTTAGTCTCTAGTAGTGTGATTACTTATAATTAGTGCTGAAGAAAAGAGAAAAATAAATTCTCCAAACACAGAGAAGAACAACATATGCACGATTAAAGCTCAACAAAGTGAAACGTTTTGGAGTTTCAAAAATTAAATAAATAAAATAAAGTGAAATAAAAAAGATTTTTATCTAAATGGGTGGAGAACATTACTCATGCAGGTAAATACAACGCTCTCCTTTATCTCGCTATATCTCTCTGTCTTGACACTCACTAAGTCCTCATTAACCCTGAACGCTAACAGGATTAGCTGCAGGCCGGGGTCCTACATCATTCTCAGTCTGCCCAACCCACAATGGATCCTTGCAGGCTTCTAAAACTAATAAATAATTAATTAAAACAAATAATATTATGTACGTATAAAAC